CTCAATTGTATATGTTGGATACAGGCCTGACATTGTGAGAAACCAATTGAAATAAGGAATTCCGTTGATATCCATTTTAAGTGACAACACTAAACCTTGAATATTGAAATATAATTCATTAGCATTGAATGTTTATTCAAATCTATGTACAACAACTGGAAGACAAAGATTGTTGCGATTTTCGTTAAAATATTTCGCTAAATATGGGTCTCTAAAACTGTCACTTGAATAAAACGCTAAACACCTTTCTCCTGCAGCTACACTACCGTGTATACAATTGGACATTATTTCGTGCAAAAACTATTACGTTGTATGTGTATATCTTAAAACTTAGAAATAGGTATAAATTCCTATCCTTCAAACCTTGCATAGATTAGTGATCATTAGGGCGCATAAAAGAAAACAAGAACAGCTGATTTGATAGTGTCTCTATACCTATCTGAAATGTTGAAATGGGTTGACGATAAACAGATTACAATCCTTGCTTATTCACGAATGGAAGACATGGGTTTTGTGAAGCCCCTCTAAGCATATATCAATAAAATACATCAGGTGCAAATCATTAAGGTTAAGTTATAAAGTTGTCGTAGGCTTAACTAGCTACCTGGAGTAAATATGTATCTATTCATCAATATATCATTTGATGTAAGTAAAAATTAACTTCTATTTATTCCCATATGTTTACGCACAAAAAGCTACACAAACACCACTGTGCTTTTAAATGTTTGTTGTCAACATAACATAATCCCCTTGGGCGGATATTTGCATCTATAAATGATAACGGAAATATCAGAGAGGGATGAAACATTCTTCATTCTGAAATAAGCCGCCATTCTTAAAAGGTTCACATTAATTATTGCGCAAATGTCTAAAAATATGTGTCAGCATAAACGATATATTTGCCGTTGCATAGTTGATCCCATAAAATCATTAAAATGTTGAATCAACTCTATTAATCCTTCGAGCATTGAGCAAAATTTGGATGACAGGTCGTAGCCTATCAGAGGAAAAATAACAAATGTAAGCCATAACTGACTAGCTTATTAAAACTTGTAACATCACACCATTTTATGTGGTGAAATACTTTTGTCAAAATCGAGGAGTATCATATCCAAATAGTGGCAATAGTTACCTCCACTCAACTTTGTGCAGATGCCTAAGTTAATGTTGTGTGTTTCAAAAAGGACATAAAAATAAAAAACAAATTTTTGTTTCAAACTGAAAATGAAATGAAAATCGTATTAAAACAATCGCAGCAATATAGTAATCCCGCACATGATGGTCATCAGGACGACGCTAGTTGTCACGTGACTTCCAGAATTACATAGGTCCCCCTTGCAGTAACACTGGTAACCCTTCAGATTTCCTTGTTGGTAGACGTTACATTTCTCATTTTGCATTGTGGTGGTGTACAAGCATTTCCTCTGTACGATCGTGTGACCTAAAAATTGGTAGTCAATAGTTAGAACGTGTCCGACAGCTACATTATTTTTGTTAAATTAATGTTAGGTCTACGCTACGGGAAGGCTACGGGAATCTGCACTTTCGAACGAGGAAAGAAAGGATAAGCCCCCCTATTTGCTCGCCGTCATTCGCCAGATGGGGTGATTCTACTGAAGTTATGTTGCGTTGAGACGTCTGGTTCTGCTCTGCATGAGACTTTCAAATAGGATCACGGGGTGGTGATCAACGCCGGCCATACTAGCCTACTAACAGACGCACGGTGCGGAGTATGTCCCTAAGCCTATCGACCCGTTTAAATTACCCAAATATAATAATAACATCAGTTCGCAACTATCTAAGCTCAGTTCCAATAAACTCAGCAATAGCTGTTTCCACTTAGCAAATCTAGTTAGACGGCCGATCAAAGGTAAAATCAAACCAGTTATTCTATGTTAGGAGCGTAGTAGCGTTAGAACAGGCCCTCCTAAAAGAAGAAGATACCTTAGAAAAAAGGATGGACACATAGTTTCTGCACTACATTGTGGAGAAGGAATAACACCACTGACGTCTTCCTGTTGGTGAAAAGGCCAATGGGTCAAAAGGAATAAAACATATTGATGGTTTAGGGTGGGAGGGATTGTATTGTAGGGTGTAGAAAACTTCCAGCTTGGAAAGAGGGGGGGGGGGGGGGGGGTGTCTTGCACGTTTGCAAATATTCCATAAAATTACAATTAAAAAAAAACGACAAACACATCGCTTCTTATTGGTGAGAAACGTCCACATACAAAAATTCCGTAGCACATTTCATCGCCTTGTAGCTAAATCCACTAACACTGTTTTGAGATTTTATTATTTGATCAGTTCACCAGGAGACTGCTTCAGTTGAGAGATATCGGCTTTCCAGATGTTTTATGATTGCTTTTGTGGAGGCCATTATAATGGCCCACCTGGCAAATTCTTGTTGTGTTTGGTTACTAAGTTGTTAGATATATTCCTATAAACACAGCGGCGAGATCTACTATCAAAGTAAAAAGTTGCATTTTTTGTGAGAAATGTTTATTTGGGCGTCTAAATGTCAATTATAAAACTCATTTATCTGATCAGATGTGTGCTGAGCATAATAAAAAGCATTTTTATTGGTTTATCAACGAAAAAACGAGTTTTTTATCCTCAAGCGTTTATGCTCATAATTTAGAGGCAGTGCTTCAAATTTGTAATACAGTAAAAACTAACTACATAAAAAAGAATTTCAAAATACAAGTATATGTATCTAGATACAAACAAAATCGTGCGAAAAAAACACCCACACAATCTACTTTCGTACTTCATCTGTAGTCTAGCCATACAGGCAATTTCTATCAGTTTAAAACAACAGAGAGACGTTCCGTTTCCAATCACTGTGGTCGCACATGTATTGTTAAATTGTTAATACAGGACACCAGCCTCGTTACAGACTCCTCCTCTAACAGGGTAAAATCTGCATCTAGTGTTCACATCCACTTTTAGCTTTAAAGGTTTTCACTGCATAGCAGCGTCTGTCAGTAAATGTTCTTTTTCTCACTGCTGCAGAATGTCATTGTACAAGACTAATAATCTATTAACGCCATCATTATTTAGAGGAGCCATCTCGAAAAGAACACTAGTGCCATAGTGATGAAGAAGTTGAAGGACATGCCACTTCCGGCGTTACATAGGTCCTTGTCCTTGCAGTAACAATGTTGACCCTTCAGTTGGTTCTGTTGATAAACAGCGCACTTCTCGTTTTGTTCAGTCGTTGTATAGAGGCACTTTCTGATAATCATACGGTGTCCTATGAAAATAAAGTTTCAACTACAGACAGAGCATTAAATGCCTTTTATTACAGGAATATGCGTCTTAAAGTAAAGTTTTTACCAGTCTTTTTTAAAATTTTAATAGAAGTAAAGCCTGAACCAAAAACCAGCTTGCGTCAAAAAAGCCTATTTTGATGGAAAAGGCCAATGTTTGCGCCGACTACGAATACTTCGTTAAGCTTTAAAGCCACAGAAACCTCTAGAAGGCTAAAGCAGAAAGACGCATTCAAGTTAACTGTGGTTACTGTTATGGTATTATCCTTCCCTCTGCCAGTGTTGAACTATTGCAGAACATTCTGAAGGTTTCTCGACGGCGTCTCACACCTTAAACGGCCGTCTGTTTCACAGTGCACTACCGTCCCTTCGTGCCATTCTTATTAGTTTATCCACAACCACATTGTTCACATATACACACGAGTAGATTATGTTCTACGAGTAAAAGGTTTTCCTTTTTATTTCAAAATACACGAGAACACATGCATAATTACCGTAGATCCCAAGGCTGCAATGTCGTGATGGTATTATCTTTCCCGACACTTCTACCGCCTTTTATCCTCGCCAGAGTGCGCATTGTTCCACTGAGGACGATATGGTATCTCTGAGCATTAAATTTAAGTCTGGCCTAACGTGTATCAGATAGAGCGAGAACCTTCTTGATTTCGTTATTGAATAATCGGCGCACATCACAGTCTAGAGTGAAATATGGCAAGAGTTTCAAAGAGTTTGCCTCAATTTTTAAATTTTTAGATTCTTATTTTGGAAGGGAGGTAACAACAATTTACCAGAATGCCCCCTGACAATAATAGACCCTTCTTGTCAATAAAATATTTTTCCAGCTCCTAATTTGTCCTTCGTCTTGAAGAAACAATACGTTTGTTTCTTAAATCAAACAATCATAACACATTATTCTAGAAAAGCAGAAAATCAATGTGTATTTCTGTGCTAAATCAAGCGTTGGTATATGTTTATTTTAGTCGAAATGCCTATGTTTGTTTTCCACAAGTAGTGATATCGATGTAAATTCTGCAAGCGCTGTCTGATTGTTAAAATATGTGTAATGGTAATAATAAATATTGTCAACTATTAATAACTTTAAAAAACTCCACATGGTCATAAATTGGCCCCGCTAATACAATTTGAATGTTTCACATTTGAATTTAAAGTCATAAATACTACACAACACATTGTGACCAAAAATGGCCTGATCGTGGTCTTTGACCATACATTAGATAGATAAAGTTAATACTGAAAACGAGAAAAACTCTCTGAGAATTTTTCACTTAATATTCCTTGATCGAAACAATACGTCAATGAATCCAGTTATCGCACATAGTGTGATTGCACTGTCTTTTAAAATATAATACTTCATTATTTCAATTTTCCTTTTTTTCTATTTCACAACTGTTCTTAGAAGCTACACGTTTCTTTTCGTACAGCGTCCAAATAGTGACATTATAAAGTAAGAATCCATCGTGAAGTCTACAAAACTCTTTTCAAAATCATTCCTGTCACCGCAGCCGCCATGAGGAGGAGCGTGTTGAGAGCCACGTGACTTCCGGTGTTGCATAAATCGCCGCTTTTACAATAGCACTGGGATCCCTTGAGGTCGCCTTGCTGATAGTTGTCGCATTTCTCGTTCTGTGCGGTCGTGGTATAGAAACATTTTCTCTGAATAACACGTTTGCCTACAGGATAAATGTACACGTGCTGAGAATGAATTGCATTTTTTTTTCAATATACATTTTTGGACTAATATTGACTTCAACATTCACTTGTTCGTGAATGCTGTTTGCATGCAACCCGATGGCATGTCTTCATCTCAAGATGGTGATATAAGTTTGTGAAAGCCTAAAATCTCATCTAAATGTATGGTGAACACAATTATGATTGTACTGAATAAAATACAGTAGTTCTCCAAAACTTATTTGCCCCCGCTGCTATTTGCTAGAGGGACCAGGACCGGGGCTTCAAGAGGAGCGAGAACCCAATTTTGGGAACTTCCCTATCCCCTGGCCCACTCTCCTCCCCTGCATCTGCCAATGCTTTTTGTCATGCATGCGTAACCGTGCCCCCTCCCACTTCAGCCCTAGGGTAAGGTTGTTACAATACAAAGGACAGTAAGGCACAGAAGTTCAGAAAATAAGATTGACTTTGGTACAGGATATCGCCTTAAAATGGTGTCGATATGCTAATAAGCTTTGTCGTAAATAAGTAGCAGAGTATTATAATAGAACAAAGCACTGTCATGAATAATATCTATGGCAAAGAATTTTTTTCTTGTTGGGATAATTCGGACCATTATTGTGTTTGGGTGTACAGTTGTATGTGTAAGCGGAGGGGTTGGGAATAAGGCCTTCAAATCAAATGCGAATGCGATCACGCCGGGATTATTCGGTCTAAAGTCATGCCCATCATGCAAATACAATGCGTCATGGTTTCATTTTTAACATCATTCAGAATTCCAGAATTTACGCCGGGGAATAAAATCATGCCGATGCCGAACGTGCAAACAAACCCTGAAGTGCATGCTCTTATTACATTTAAAACACCACGTGTCGTCCAACACCACAACGCGCATGTCATATTGCACGTGAACGATACCGCTGTAAAATTAGGCAGTGGTAAAACTTATCCTCCACACCCCGACCTTTCCATTCAAGATTAAATTTGAAGGAACAAAGATAAAACAACCAAATAATTTATTTTAGTACTTGGTGTATAATAGTGGGGTCCATCACAAAAATGTGAAAATATACGCCAACAACAACATGTGTTCTGACAGCTTGTAAAAAAAAACGAGCTACCACGCTGTGACTCAATTATTGTTAAAAGTCCACCATACGGAATTTTTTTTATTTGCGCCAAACCTAATTTTTAACGAGAAAAAAAGGCAATCTTCTCCTAGTCAGAAATAATTGCTCGACCTTTTCCTGCATGGCTGGAAGTCTTAATTTAAAAACTAAAGTTCTAAACAAATCATTAAGACCATCATGTCTTTCGGATATAACTTCGGTTTTATCTTTTTAACACTCTGAATTTAAGATGTTATAACTGGCTTTACAAAGTATTTTGACAAATACATAAGAATTTGGGACATTATACACGCGTATAGTATACCATAAACTTTGTCATAAATTAGCTCACAAATCCACAGCTCAGCACCAGACAGAAGTGACGCCAACGTTGGGTAGGCCTAGTTCTTTTTCAAGGTAGTTACCAGCCTCAGACTGGGTTAACATACATAGATCGATCCATCTGGATCGATCTAACTCCCTGGGGAGTCTCACTAAATTGTTATGAACTAACCGGCTTAAATGTCTGCCACACCTATCAAATCAGCTAAGGGGTAAAGATAATTATCCCCTAACAGTTTTACTAGGCGTGACAGACATTGAAGCCGTGAAAAAAGATGACAGCAATTTAGTGAGACCCCCAGGGAGATAGATCGATCCAAATATCTGCGGGAATGGTCCCTCAGTTTCGCATTTATACAGAAGATATCGTGGATGTTGAATGTGTCATGTATATGATACATATTCTTTAAGACTCATTGTGCCAATGATTTACTGTGGTGCTTACAACTCCCATCAAAACTATGTGTAGGAGCATAGAGATAAAATTGTGACATCTATTCAATGCTGTTTTTTTTTCAATCTGTGTTTGATGAACAATTCCTGTGAAGGAAAAACCATAACAATATCGCCCTCTTAAAACCAGTTGGCCGAAATACAGTGACAAAAGTCAGATAAGACGACTAAAAATAGCAGCAACTAAAACTGAGAAAGCCAGCACTACGAGGTTTGTGTTGACGCCACTTCCGGAGTTGCAGAGGGCTCCGGTACACATGCAGTGGATTCCCCGTAGATTTCCCTGAGTGTAGACCTTGCAAGTGTCCGTCTGCGGAGTGACTGTGTAAAAGCACTTCCGGATGACCACCCTCTTGGCATCTTGGGTCTTCTTATCTAACAACGACATGGTCACGTGAGTTCTACTACTTCCGGTACACGCCTCACTATATGCAACAACAAAAACCAACCGTTTTTTAATTTGCTTGACTCAGAATATCTTGATTCTCATTTAATTCGTTTCTGGTTTGTACTAAATGACCCAGATATCCTCAGTTCGAGAGATTTATATTTGTGATGATTTCCTTTAATCCACATTTTCCGAAGAAGAATTGTACAAGTAGCTTAACAGAATAACGGTTTGTTTTCATTTGGTATCATAATACGCAAACACATTTGCTTTTAATTTATGTTGCTATGAAGCTCACTGCAAATCAGAACGGCACTTCAAACAAGAAGACAGATTCAAAATCTACGTAAATGTCAAACGCAAAGAGTAAGCTGGTTTGTTTTCTTTTTAATGCAAGTTAATATGATATTCAAATTATTATTTTTTTTAAACAAGTGATGTTATTTTTATCTTTTGTTCTAAAGAGCGTTTGACAAAAAGGTACCTTAATAGATCCAAACCGCATTTGACGGCATCTCCGTTAGGTGGCAGCACCAGCATTTTTAAGACACGAATGTGAGCACACAGTGAAAACACGCAAGTTCACGTAGTCAAACAGCAAACGATAAACAGCACACGTGTGAAAACCACTCGGGTTAAAACTTACTTCCAACTTGAAGACTTCGAGCTCTCAATGGGGTTAAGGGCTGCGTGAAAGTCAATCACAGGTCAAGGTCAAACTACACTAATAACGTTTTTCAAACTAGAAAAGACTGCAGGAAGACTCTAGGAAAGTGACAAAAAGAGGCGATGGCGTTTAGAAACGAGTACATGGTGTTTATCTCCAAGGTTACAGCAGGGCAGTGAAAAAGGTGAGAATGTTCATTGAGGAGTCTTTAGGCAAAGAGCAGCATTTTGCGGAGTAATATCATGCTAAATGTAGCCAATGGGAAGCAGGCACTACGCTAAAGAGTACGTACATAGACATAGTTATTAGCATCGTGGTTAGGGCATGAAGTGTAGGTTAGTATGTTAGTTAGCAAAGCATGAAGCAAAACTAAATTATATAAAGTTAGAATAAAACTTATGAGAAAAAAAATCTATCTAAACATACAATGTCAAAGTAAATGTCATTTTAACAAATAAAAAACAAATAAACAATTAAAGAAAAATATCTGAAATTATGACCGTAAGATAAACACCGTACAAAATTAACCAAAACCCATTTAAGCATCCAAATTGTGAATATCATTTCTATTGTATCTATTTTACTGGCAAAGTCTATAAAATTATCACATTTTAAAACATCTGCAAAGCGTAATATTTAATGTTAACCACAACCAATGCCAAACAGGCCCCCAACAAGTAAGTTATAGCACCGGTTTAAATAGTCAGCACGTACCAGTTCCAATGTGGGTGGCGTCGATCTTCATGCAGCCGTTGGTGTTGGGGCAGTCTTGGACGTAAGCAGGGTCGTCTGCTGTAGCCGCCAATGTCTCACCGCAGTTAGGGTCGCCGTTGTTGCAGACGTAGCATTTGATGGCGGTCCCTGTATTGCAAAGATATTGATATCATTATGTATTTCACATGTGAGATATCGTATATATAGGGGTATTTTTTGTCTTTATGTATTCTAGTATTTACTGGCATACCATAGCACTAGGGTACCCCTGAGTTTTCCCATTCTAATAGAATGCGACGTTTGTCGCAACTATCGCATTGTGAACACCCACAGGTAATCATTTTCGCAGTTCGTTTTTAAGGATCTGTTACCTATTATAAAGAAGTATCGTTTGTGACACGGATTATACGCACAATCCTGAGCGTTTGAAATATCCTTGTTTCCAGCTAATTAAAATGAAGATATAAGCAGCGTAGGCAATTACTTTTGAACATACTCAAAACATTATATCTCTATCCGGGTACCCCAATGTTTGACTGTGTCCTCGAGATGAATACGACGTAAGTCCAACAAACCCCTGCCTTTGTCTGCGTATAGGCAATTTTCCTAGAACTAGTACGTTGAATCTTGATGCTATACGCGTGTTGTGTCAGTACCTTCATCTCTTTCTTTAGCACATCCGTTTGTCCCCAAATTTATGCTAAATAATCAGGACCTTTACATTTTTGTTTCTCGACAAGGAAGGGCAAAGGACTGAAGATAGAATAGTAAGACGAGACTGTGGAATTTCTTAAACCGCGTAACCTTGTAGGAGTGCTAGTTGTAGTATTTTTCAATTAAGCCCTTTGCGCGTTTAAATATTGACGAAATAAATATCTTGTTAATAATCGTTTAAATAAATACATAAAATACAAAACAAATGGCGACGATAAAGAGGGAATCCGCGTTGATGTATTCATGGTGTTTATCACGAGTTAGAGAGACTGCTTCATTTGCTGAAAGCAACATTTATACTACAGGCCATGGGGGGGGGGGGGGGGGGGGGTTCGGGGGGTTCGAAAGAACCGCCCCTTTTGGTGGGAAAAGGTCCACTCTAGGTAAAATTTGATCTAGGTTCATGAAGTTTTTTATGAAAAGGTCCACTTTTTCAGAAAAAAGAACTCCCCTTTTGAAACTGCTGGCTACGGGCCTGTACTACATGTAATATGTAAACAATATTTTACAGACGTTTTGTATCCAACTGAAGCCCCAGCTTATATAAACAAAATCACACTTTAATCTCAAGGCAAAAGAAATAAAAAACATGAATGTGCCTCTCGTGAATGTCACTTACTTATGATGACAAAAGGACGGGGGACTCAAAAGACCCAGTTGCGAAAATTATTTTAAGTGATATCTGTCCATTATCCCTTAACCTGTGTTTTTTTTTTAACTCAAAATATTTTTCTTAGATCAGAAGGAAATTCAGACAAATAAAACATCGATATTTAAAGTGCATCTTATTCTATGACCCATACCCGTTTTGTATTGGGTTAAAATAGCCCCCACAATGAACGCTAAATGTTCTAATTTCCTCGTCCTACATGGCCATTTACAAATGTTAACAGGACAGATAATATTTAGCTCAGTACACATAGTATTGTATCGGGTACCTGCCATGTTGTTGACACAGAAGATAATAAATACTGCGACTATCGCGTTTCCTTGCCTCCGGCTCTCTGCTATCTGTGGTGACATATATCAGTGCGTGGCCAGGAGAAATGTGTGGGAATGGGTTCAAAAATTAAATAAGAGAGCACGCTCTGTAGAAACTGTCTCAAGTGATGGGACCCCCTCCCCTCCCCTCTCTCTCTCTCTCTCTCTCTCTCTCTCTCTCTCTCTCTCTCTCTCAAACAGTGCTTTCGAAAAAAGTCAAATAATACACAAAGATAAATAAATGACACAAGAAAGGTTTCTGCAAGGCATTAACGATAAACTGCATAAAATATCCCAGACACTGGCGTGACAGACCACATGAACGCGATGGGCGTCTCTTTATAAATCATTCGGTAAAATGACTTGAAAATAGTGCGATATATTTCTGCGTTCAAATGTCAAAAGTGTTCACCGTGTCTAGAAAACGTGTCTCTTCCAGATTTTCCAAACATTACATTGGGTCTTAAACGAGTCGAATTAAATTTCGCCTTCAGCTTTCTGTATCAAGCTGTCAAGACCCGGTGGGCTATTTACATTAAACAACGCCTTTAATAGGTTCTTTCTTTTGCGGTCTTTAAGCAAACATTTTTTACACACCTGTTACAAAGCACAGGTAATAAACTTGAAGCGTCACCAGTACCCCGCCTGGAATTTCATAAACAGCGCATATAGGAGAGTAGACCTTGTGAACAATTGAACTTAATTACATACATATAACTTCACACTCTGAGCCCCAGGGGTAATTTCTCACATGAAAATATAGGGCTAGACGTTGTGATGCAACATTCTGGTCAGTTTATATTGTTTGAGGCGGGACCCGAAGCGTTACGTGTCAACACGCATACTGCTACTTCTGTATTAAAAAGTGCACTCGAGTTGGAGGACTGTGCCATTACAATCAGTTAGAATTTCTAACCGCTTGAGCGGGCCCAGACTGTCACAGACAAAGGGGATAGTCTCATGTTTGTCTCCCAACAGCACGTTCAAATGGACAAGCAAAACGGGAAAGGGTGTCGTTTATCGGTTGTTCAATATGAGTAGCGTCGCCAAGCCAAAAGTTGAGAGTCGCTCCACTTTGATAAGGATACGAATAGTGAAGTGAAGTTGAATTTGGTTTAACTCTCACGGACAGTTTTATGATCCAATGTTTTTGTCATATTCAGGTTAAAATTAAAATACAGAGCCATTTCACTAGAAGTTATACAGGCGAAAAAGAAATGTATGGGCAGCAATAAGCCAAAATCAAGTGGACATTGATAATGCAAGCCAGCGCTAACTATGAATAGAGTCGGTTTGTAGTCATAGGTAGACCCCAGTGATAACCGAATGCTCTTTAGCGAAGGTGAGCAGACATTAATATTGTCTTTGTTAACTTTCACTACATCCATGAATTGTGAATGGACCGCGTTTTTAATATCCACTATTGGGAATTGCAAATAAGACTTGTCAGTCACTGGGGCTGAGTCATTTAGATACATATCACTAATATTAAGTAAGTCTGCAACTGCAATGGTGGTCTATTTACATATATTGCTACATCAGTTTATAATATTATAAGGAGCATTTTAGAGGCATACTTTGCATAATTTCGGCCTAAATTAATACAAACTTTTAAACAATAAATAAGTCTTTGATCCGAGCTCAAGCAGTGCGGGTAGTCCAGTTAAAATAGTGTGCTTGTTTTATAACAAGAAAGGTCTCATCATATAAGACTAGTAGGGTTTTATTATGAAGTGAAGTAGACTTAATTCTGTCTTAGATCAATTTTCGAGCTGAGATTTCGTTTGTAAAACAGGACCTTGAACTCTCTTTAGTATGCTACGTGGACTGTTAACCAAGACGTGTGTACCATTCAACGAGAGGTCTGACAACAGTTTATTAAAAACAAACAAGAGGGTCTCAGCCATTACAATAGCAACTTGCATGGGTTCATTTTCTGTCGTGGTTACTTAAATGCAAGCTGAATACTTTAACGATGTCTCGAGCACTTCTTCCTGTGATTTAAATCCATGATATTTTGATGGTGAAATACTCGAAAACTTTATACATCAGTCATTTCTCCTTTCGTCAGAATAGATCCGCCGTATCACGAGGACTCACTCATTTTACTTCGTAACAGCCCAGAACTGGTTATTGGTTATTAATATAATACATTTAGAATATAAGATATACAACTCGTGTGTTGTGTGTAATATGACGCCCAGGTGGCATACTGAACTTATCTAACCCGACGCACTCACAAACCAACCTGTTGATTTCATTACAGAGGTACATGGATGAAAATGAGGTCATTTACATTTCACTTGTGGATTTCAACGTTCAGCGTTCAAGTGGACATATCTAAGCCCTACTTCACTACAGAGCGTCCTTAGCTGCGTCTGAAAAATACCCATAGACCAATCAACTTACCTACAGACAGGAAGCCAAGGAATGAGAGGGCAAATACGAGAGATTTCATGATGGTTACTTAGGTGGTGCTGGCAGTCGCAGTCGCAGCAGTGGCGTCTATCTCCAGTCAGTTGTTCTCGTTTAGAGTCGCAGTGGGTCAACTTGCAAATTTGAATGACGTCATCCAGGGGTCATGCTGCACCCGTCCCGGTTCCGCTAAGAAGCGCCGCGTCACCGGTGGATGTGACACTTATCCCGTGCAAGTTATCATGAGAGAATTTCAGTTTGTAGAAATGTTGTCGGGTTGTGTTGGGATGTGGCTAGTGTTGGATCTTTCCAGCATGAAGTATTTTGTCTAACATGGGAGAATTTGCGGTTTACGATACAGTGCTTCCATTAACAGTTTGAAAGCCACATAATGATGAGTGTTACACCTTTAAAGATTTCAATATTCCTGGATATTTTCCCTTTTTCTCCGTATACCAAATCCAAAACCGTTATCAGTATTACTATCCATAAAGAAGTTTCTGAGTTTCTAATTTTTGAGGCACTATCATAATAGAGATAGCCACTGAATTTCTCTGGTGACGTTGGAAATGAGAAAATTTCGAGTCAAAAACAAGGGTTGGATGGAAAAACCTTGGTACTGAAATTTCTAGAAATTCCATAATTTTTTCGCAATGTTAACGGCCAACGCGCATTGTA